CACACCCCTCTACTCCTTTTTTAGAGAGCGGCGCCCCCCCCCCCCCCCCCCCCTTGCTTGTCCTTGTGTTTTCCTGGTCCCCTTATCCATCCCCTTGCCGCATCCCGACCCGGCCCGGACCTCTCAGGCACAGTGTCCGTGAGGCCCACAGTCGCGCGCTCTGCCGGCACCCCCCCTCCCCCTCCCGACAAAACACCTCTTGCCTGGTTGTACAATATACATCTACATACCTTCCCTTCCCTCTGTGCGTGTTCCTCCCCCCCCCCCTTGCAAAGACTTGTCCCTTGGTCCATCGGGGTTTTTTTCGGCCGCCGGCTCTCGCCTTCACCTCTTTCGCGGTGTCCATGGGATTCCCCCCCCCCCCCCCCCGCCAGGCTGGATGATATCTTTGTTCCCTTTCCTCCTTTTGGGAACCAGGTGTCCATGTGTTGTGTAGGTTTTTCACGTTGTTTTCGGCGCCAGGGAAAGCAAAGAGGCCGCGCATGCGCATGGGTACACCCATGTGCACAGGGAGGACCCCCATCGGCAGTGTGTGGCCGGGGGCCGTCGGTCTGGCGAGGGGAGCTTCCCCTCCCTCCTCCCGGCCCAGGGTTCCGAGCGGGCGGTCCACGCAGCAAGGCCGCCACCGTAGTTTAGGAGGCCTTGGCCAGGGCAAGGCGAGCCTCCTCCAGTTGCTTCATCAGCTCATAAAACTGGGCGATGCTCAGCTCTGCCAGGTGGGGCCGGGAAAAGCCCGGAGTCGGATCCCCGCCGCGCGCCGCCCCGGAGAAGGTCAGTGATCACAAAGGGGCGCGATTGGAATCGGTGTCTGGCCTCGGGGTGGGGCACAAGGGAAGGCGGCGGAGGGAAATCCCGCAGGCAGTGGCAGCCGCTGCGAGCACCGGCGTGGCAGGCAGAGACGGGGGCCACACGCACCAAGGTGAATATTCTCCAGCTGCGAATCAGGGCTCAGGAGTGTGATCTTCAGGCGGACAAAAGTGGCATTCGACCGGCGCTGGACATCCGAGCCGGCGGTCACTGACGCGAGAAGGATGCCCCGCAGAGTGGACAGTCACGAGAAGGAGAGAGAGAGAGAGAGGGGGGGGGGAAGACAAAGAAGCAGTGTCAATGAGAGTCGGGGACGAGCAGGCGCCCTGTTCCAGGGGCGTCGGGCAGGGCGGCGTCGCACCGCCAAACGTCCAATCGACATCCACAAGCCGATCGAGCGCGAGTGAGGTCGCCATGCTTTGTTGTATGGGGTCTCACCAAAAGAGAGAGAGCGAGAGAGGAATAAAAAGGGGCACCAGGGGTGGATGGCCAAACACAAAAGGCCGAGGGACAGGATGCGAGGCAAGCGGAAAGGTGCAGAGAAGAGCGGCCAGAAGGAGGGGGAG